CATACAATTTGTGCAAATTTATACTGATTTCTTTATCCAGTAATTGTAGCAGCAGTTTGTACAGCAGTTCTGAATCGATTGCGCAGGTATTGAAGGGGGGTCTGACGGTCCTGTCAGTGTTTGGTAACACGCGTACGGCCAGATTTTAGTCTATCAAGCATGTTTCTAACTTGTTGGAAACGTACGTTTAACCGCTGCGAAGCCGATTTATGTACACCAAATGCAGTTGCAACGTCCTGTTCACGTAGCTCAGGTTATCATCATCGTTAACCCGGTTGCGTTCATCTTTGTTAAGGCGTGGCATTGCAGCATCTACATTGCAATCAATTCTTAAATATGTGTTTAGTAGGTCAGTGTTTATGTTATTTCTCTAAATCCAAAATATCAATGAAAATAGACCCACAATTTACAAGAAATCATGTAAAACCATGATTAATCAAGAGAAATAATTCAACACTTGGGTTTTAAAAGCTGTCCTTTATAAACAGGTCACAGATATCCAATGATTAAAAAAAGTTTTTCCGTATACTTTTTCAAAATTTCTGTACGTGTCAAGTTTCTGATTAAAAGAAAGGAATAGTATTAAATAGCAAATTTGCATGTTGATGCAGCTTGTGTTCTTACTCTCGCTGCTAGCATTGGCAAATTCTAGAGCTTTAAAAAATTCCTTATACATGGCTCCAAGAAGTAGGCTGATCATGATTTTTACCATTTTGCTTTTCCTAATAAAATTCACCTGGCTTGGTATATGTTTCCAAAGTTTATATTACATTTTTAGCACCAACATTTTCTGAAATTTGATTTTTTCTGTAAACCTGTACTGAGTGTCTTTTGTCTATATTTGTAATTACATTGAAGTATTACTAATATTTTCCAAATCTATTACATTTTCCAGTTCTTATGAGAAAAAATTCTAATATATATTCTATATGATAAGTATTGTCCTCTCATTTTTTAGGTCCTAACTAGTACAACGTAGGTTAGATATTTCAGATAATTGTATTTCTATAAAAGCAATTGAATCAATATATTCCTATATATTACTGTAAACGTGGAAATTTTGACGATGTGCTAATTTTGAATATATTGACGATTCTTCTTTCCTCGTCAAAATTTACACTCGTCAAACTTCAAATCATATATATAGCGTTACAACAGACATTGACCATTATACAACTTTACCGTTTAATTTTCTCGGCTTTCCTTTATTTAGACTAGATCAAAGTTACTGTTAATTTCCTTTGTAATAAGTTATGAAAACACAGTGATCTATAATCACACTTTTTAAAAACCATTGAATCCAAGCTAGTGAATCAAATACTTGCATGCGTAACTTAGCGTAATTATCACGCTGTGCTTGACCAAGTTTGTCACCTCAGGCAATGATCGCTTATAATGAAAACAAAATACGAAAGGTTAATTTATGTAATCAAATTGTACACACTTATAGGGTTTGTACAATCTAACACACTGTAGATGGTCTAACTCAAACTCTGGCATTCACTTTTTTTTTACTTCGTGAATTCAAAGGTACATAACTCTCGATTCAATATTTCGTCAAAATTAACACTCGTCAATTTTCGTAAACAAAAAATCGTCAATTTTTCAACTCGTCAATATAACCACGTTTACAGTATTTTCTGTTAGAAGATAAAAAGTTTATCAGCATCTAAAATAATATATGAAAAAGACTACACCATTATGCCTATCAATAATGCAAATTTTATTGTGAACATTATTCCAGTTATGATTATAAAATCAGGAAATCAACATATCACTGGGTGGTTTGTATATGATATTTATTTGTGACTGACAGGAATGATTGTACAAAATAACATGAATGTATAAAGTAGATGTGTAACTATGTATCAAGTAATTCAAAGTAATTGAAAAAGTAATTAAACTGTAATCGCCTTATATAGACACAATTAGTGTTAAAAATGGAGTAAATTATAATTACATGCCAAATTTTAGCTGTAATCGATTGTATTACGATGACAAGTAATCGAAAAAATCTCTTCGATTACAGATTACCATTGATTACTTGAAAATAGTAATCATTGCAAACGATTACGATGCCTGCCCCCCCCTTTCCCCCACATTCTGATTATTTAAAGTAGACATGATACGTTTTTAAAAATGCATACTCAGTTGAGTGGGAATTTCTGATTCAATCAATGAAGAAGTTCAACTTCGGCGACAACTTTGTCAGATGGATCAAAATCTTATATACAAACCCTTATTTTCACATAAAAAATAATGGCTGGATTTCTAGAAAATGTCACATGAATAGAGGCATCCGACAGGGGTGTCCTGTCTCAGCTTTATTATTTCTATTCGTAATGGAAATTTTATCTACAAAGGTAAATAAATCAGATAATGTTCAAGGTTTTAAAATGTGTAATACGCAAAAGGAAATAAAATGCATACAGCATGCGGATGATAGTACTTTTCCAGTCAAAGATGAAGAATCTCTTAAACACGTAATTAAAATCATTGAAGATTTCGGGTCGAAATCAGGTACAAAGTTGAATCTATCAAAAACAGAATGTATTCTATTGGGAGAACTTAAACAGGACATGGAAGGGAAGACATCTCTACATGGTGTCAGAATTAACTCTAAAACAATAAAATGCCTCGGCATATACATCGGGCATGACAAAGCAGAAAGAAATGAGAAAAACTGTCTATGCAAATTAAGAGAATTTGAAAAAATACTTGACTCTTGGCGAAGCAGAAAATTAACTATTTTTGGAAAATGTCAGATTATAAATTCTCTATTAATCTCAAAAATATTATACACTGCTTCAATATTAGAGAACCCAGAGCAATCTTTCATCAAAGGTCTAAACAAAATAATATTCTCCTTCATTTGGGGTAACCGTGAAAGAATTAAACGCAAAACCTTAATAAGAAGCATAAACGAAGGCGGAATCGGTATCACTGACTTTGAGTCTAAAGTCAAAGCTATTAAAGCCTCATGGGTTACAAAGATTACGAAAGATAAAAACAGTCTACTCTCTCTCGTAAATGCTGTTTTGTACAAAAATAATATAGATTTTGCGTTTTTAACAAATTCAAGCGTAACAAATTACAATGATCTCATACTAAACTCCCTTCCTGAGTTTTATAAAGAGGTTGTCTTGGCTTTTAATGAATGTAAGGATAATACTCTTACAAATCTTGCAAATCAGAATATTTGGCTTAATAAAAACATTAGTTTTAAAGGTAAACCACTATTCTTTCCGAATTGGACCAAACGGGGTCTTTTGTTAGTAAAAGACCTTTTTAATGACAATGGTTTCAAAACTGTACATGAAATTAAAGAAAAATTAGCATCCGCTAATAATTTCCTTTGCGAATATCTAATGGTAAAGACCGCCTTAAAGAAACACTATTCACGCATAAACATGCAAACTATAAACTTTGTAAACATAAACGCTAATCAACAATTCTATTTTGATGGAAAATTTGAAGATATTTCTAATAAAAAATCTTGTTTTTTCTACAACATTTTAATAAAAAAGAAATCACACAAGCCAATCATGGAAAATATCTGGTGTAGAGAATTCCAAATAGATAAGAGTCATTTCGATACTATATATGAAAATAAAGTTCGCTCATTATTTGATAAATCTGTATCAGAATTTAGTTATAAGCTACTACATAATCTGTTGACTACAAATCTATCCGTTAGTAAGTGGGATAAAAACAACAGTGGCAACTGTGATTTCTGCGATACACAAGAAAATATCAAACATTTGATTTTCGAATGTTACTTGATAAAGCCAATCTGGAGTAAAATTTCTCAACTAATAAAGATAGATATAACATGGAAAATGATTGTTATAGGCTTTATTATTTTCAACAACAAATGCACTTTTATTTTAGATAATACATTGTCATTCTTGGCGTGTAAGATTTACAAATATAAAATGAAATGTAGAATTGTTAAAGACCAGGTTACATATGAAGGAGTGTGTCGCTTTTTAAGAAACGCGCTGATGCAGTTGTATTTTACTATTAAAAAGACAAAATGTATAAATTCAGATTTTAACATTTTTGAACTGTTGTCACAAAACTTATAATAATATGTATATTAAATGTATCAATTATATATGTACTAGAGGGTGAGCTGGCCCTCTGCATGTACATACATGTGGCAGGACAATATGGACTGTGAAGGTGAACTGTAAAAGCAAGTCCTGCCGCATGATATTACTGTCAACTATTCTGTTTGTAAAAATTATATATATTCTACTATAACCTTATACTGGTTTTATAAACATGATGTCACTGCTGCATATTTTTGAAGCAGCTAACTATCGTCTATTGAATTGTATAATCATGATGTCATTGATACCAACTATATTTATAATACCGTAAATCTGGAAATTTTTACGTCGATTTTATTTTGCGAATTTGGGTCAAAATGCTGTTGATTAATTTTTACGTTTCAAAATTTTGCGAATGACCTCTGCTTTGTGTACATTTTCTTATTGGTATTTTATTTTTAAGAAAAATATTTTTGCGAATGCAATGAACTCGCAAATTTGCTAAAAATTTATCTACAGCAAAAATTTCCAGATATACGGTAGTTACTTTCTACTAAAATCATACACTATATTACATAAGTTTATGCCTGATATATTTATTTAACAAAATTATTTCTTGATTTACCTATTATACATGTATAAAATTTGTTACCGATCCAGGGAGCCCCTGGCACCCCAGGAGAGGTATATGATGAGGGCCTCTGCGGAGGTGATGCCTCAAATATGAAACTATGCATGTATTTGAAATAAAATCTTTTATTAAAAAAAAAAATGCATACACTTAGCAAAGCAATATATCATTATAATCTGTAATCTGAAATTAAAAGTCAGGGTTGAGCTTGAGACAAATCTATAGTATAAGAATACGTAATTAATTTAGTTATATTCATATGTTTATTCTATTTATCTTTAAAATTTGTTGACTACTTTAGAAATATTTAGAAATCACTTCAGATATATGATTTTCTTCATTTGTCCGTTTTTAATCTGAGCAACAAACAGACCGTCATTTGTATCTGTACACAATCCATGGGGTTTACTCAGTCCGCAGTCTAAGTAACGGAGGAACTGTCCATCCTGGTCTATGATGTGGACACAGTAATTCTCTAAATCAGCTGTGAGGATGTGACTCTGACTGTCTGATATGATTCCTAGTGGATAGAATGGTTTGTTTTTTGGAGCAGGAATACGTCCAGTGTACCTGAATCTTAGTTTCCCTGCATGATTGACCACAACTACTGCTCTAGCTCCATAGTCAGACACACAGATATCCAGGTTTCTGTTCTCTGTTATGTAACTACCAAATGAATAGAGAGGTTTACCCTTATCATCAAACTGAATGATTTGTTTCTCTGTGGAGCTAGAGAAACGGACAACCGTTGATTGTTTGTTATCATCATTGTTCAAGATAACCAGGAAATCACCAGAGAAGGTACCACAAACACCGCAAGGTTTCCAGTTCTGTAGTGTGAACATCTCCTCTATTTTCTCATTCTTCACAATGTTCACACTTCTATCCCAATAATCAGTATAAACAAGATCTTCACTTTTTGTAACTGCTATGTCGTATGGCTCGTGTCTTGACTTGGTTGTGATTGACTTGAGTAGTGATCCGTGATTGATGCTGTAGAGTTTCATGGTGTTGTCACCTCCACTTGTCCAGATTTCTTCATCACTCAGACAGGCCACATTGTAAAGCCCTCCATACTCAGTGTCTATGATGGTGACAGTCTCTGGTTCATGAAGCAGCTGTTTGACTAGAGGAGAGGATCCAACTTCTGTTCTCTTCTCTGGTAAAGGAGACAATGCAGCTTCTACATGTAACAAACCATGTGCTGTAACAGTTCTTATGCTGTAACCATGCTCATCGGCTGTTATTGTTGTCGGAATAATTTTTCCACACACATTAGAGATCTGTTTCTGTACAGAAGGGAATGAAAATGTTGCCATTGTTACGTTTAATTTAGACGGAAGTTTCCTGTATTTCTTCTGGTCTAATTGGAAGTTTAACACTTCAAAAATATCTGTAGAATCTATTAATATGTATAGAGAAATAATATCATCATTTATCTTCGTGGTGCATGTCTGTATGTTTGATAAATGTGTCTTTAGAGTTTCATTGTCTTTCTTTTTCATCTCATCCACTTCAGCTTTAAGTTTCTTGACAAGTTCGTCAATTTCTCTGTGCAAGTCCTCTCCATGTTTTGTAATGGCTGTTGAGAGTTTTTCATATTTCATGTCTATTTGACTTAGTGTATTTTGTATATCATCTGCTATGTCCTGGTAAGTTGGATAGATGGATTCCTCCAATTCATGAATTTCAATCTGGATGTCTGCCCTCTTCTTGGAAACGATGTCTTTTAGAAAGTGGACATCATGATCTTTATGTTTTTTGGAGACAATACAAGCGGAGCAAATCGGAATATCGCATTCCCTACAATGCAATTCACAACTGTTATTCGCGTGAATTTTACATCTAGGATAAAAAAGAGTTGATTTCCTGGCCTGAAATTTGACAACTTTGTGGTCTTTGGATTCATCAGAGATCATATGTTTTCCTACGCAAGCTGTACACAGGTTGACAAGACACGTATCACAGTGCATCTGTACCACAGCGGTCTCACACAGGTCACATCGCATCACGTCCTGGGCACTGGTACGGGGGTCCATTGTTAGGAATTACTGCCCTGAAATCGACCAATTAAATTACAGTAAAATTGATGATAAATTATTTTATTTTTCAGAATAAATTTTTTTCACGATATAAACGTCACGTACTGTAAATCACGTTTTATTCGCGAGAACTTTATTTTCGCGTAATTACGCGAGACAATGAGCTCGCGAAAATTTAAATTAAAAGTATTCCTTACCGTTATATAGAGAAAAAACAACAATTCGTGAAAATTTTGTCTCGCTAATAAAGAGTCAATGACTATATCGCGAAAATAAGGTCAGGTGTCGCAAAAATTTAGTGATCTACAGTATATGTTTCATATTAAATATATTTATTATCAGTCAATGTAAATTCTATAACAGTCTACATTTTTGTTCAACTTGAAAATTTTTAACTATAATAATTAGTTTGTAAAAAAAAAAGTGTCATAAAAAACTTATTTATGTAGAATGTCGAAGAATTCATGGTCTACGGAAGATAATGAGTACACGTTCACACGCACAAAGTCTGTGATACCGGTATACAAAAAAACCCTCTTTAAGTAATGGTGGCGACCATATATACATACACTCACGCACAAAATGGGACGGGATGGGGGGAGCGGGCTTGCGACCATTCAAGTTTTTTTTTTGTTATTTTCTATTGCTATATATAGTAATTGTGCTTTATCATTAGCTGACCTATTTTTGTATTCATATAAAGCAGAATTTGTGCAAATTCTTTTGCATGAAAAGGAGAAAACACTTGCTGTGGCCTTCAACTCGACATTTAGATATATCGACGACGTATTGTCAATTAACAATTGTAATTTCCTTTCCTATATATGTTTATAAGATATATCTTGCCATAATTTTGGTATACTTGAGATTAAAGAAACCTGCAACACCTGTTTCATATTTGGATATATTACTTGTAAAAGACGTTAATGGTAATCTAACAACCACGCTCTATGATAAGCGGGATGACTTTAAGTTTTCTATCGTCAACTTCCCTTACTTATGCAGCAATTACCTTCATTACCTGCATACGGAGTTGATACGTATATCTCAGTTGATTCGGTATGCACGATCATGCTCTACGTATGAACAATTTCCAAAACTAGCTAAATTATTGACAAACAATTTGATGAAACAAGAATATCAGCAGTTTCATTTAAGGTGGCTCATTACATCCACAGTTTATTTTAGATTTCAATACAGCACCACTTATAATGTAGATGTCAAATATCCAGATGGGGGTATTGATATCATAAATATTTTTTTATAGAATTTTTAGTTTTTGTTTTATTTTAGTGAAATGTTTTATTTCAGGTTTATTATTCACAGAATTTCAGAACTTTCAGTGTCAAATGTGGTCGATACAATGTTCTTATCAGCAAATACAATTTATCATTTAATCAAATGCTGGGTGACCTTTTTTTCATCGTTACTGAGTATTGTTAGTCCATTTATTCATTGAACTGACGACGGATTTTTATATTTCCCGATCATGACAATGAGCACTAGACGGGTGTGACCGGTCAGCAGGGGATGCTCACTCCTCCATGGCACTCCACCTGATCCCACCTCTGATGTTTTGGAGGTATGTGTTTGATCTGCTCCTGATTTGTATTGCTTTATTGGGCTTTGATATTGAATACTGATCGTTATCTCCATATCCTTCATAGTAAACTTGCATGTTGGTACAGGTTGTTAATTAGTCACTCACGTTTTGTTGCTGTAACATGTGGAAGGTCGAACATTTGTAAGTTACAGGGTTTTAAAAAACGATAACGGTTTATCAAAAAGGAAGAGAAAGTTCAAACCCCCCACTCTCCAAGAACTTTCTATTTAGGTTTATTTTTATTTGCCTGATTTGTTGCCCCTCCCCCTTTCTCAATTCGTCGCCGGCAAGTCCTCAAAATATCCTACATTGTATTTGACATTCCAAAACAAAAAGATTAATCATGCAGTTACAGCTATATGAAAAAATTTCAAGTATTCCGACTGTTTAACATAAAATATTTACATTCAGTGTAATTTTCTTTATGAAATCCATCAGAAATCCATGAGTTTAAATCTCTATAACACACGTGAAACCTTGTCACTGCGCGTTAGAATACACAGTAGGAATTATATGCATTTTCAATACTTTACGAACACCGAAATGTACATTGTGTGAAACAATTTAATTTAAAAAAAATAGCCTTGTTGAAATGACGTTAAAATACAACAAATGTGCATTTAAAATTAATTTGTCACTTTTTTTCTCGCAATGTTCTTTTGCGTTATTTAACTTTTCGACGTCACAAACGTCACGAACGGCTCTTACGTCTATAAAGCACACCAGTTTTGAAGGGGGCTAAATTCACATCAAAGATTACCGAAATAAACAATTATGAAGAGGAAAAATTAAAGACTGTAAATATAAGTATTGAATTCATATTTTTGGATGTCGTCGGTCCTGTAACACACCTGGCGGTTACCAACAAATTATCATACCGCGCTAAAGCGCATTATTCAATTTGTCGGCACGGCCAAGTGTGTTATAGGACCGAAGACATCCAAAAATATGAATTCAATGCTTAACAAATAACAGTTATTGTATTTAAAAAATATATAAGATTTCTACATATAATTTAATGATTTACCTTGTTTTGGTAATGGTGGCTGTATGTAATTTGATCAGGTGAAACACGGGTATATCTTGGTTATCTACCTGGGTTTATCCTCAACTGAAAGCTAAGGGCAGTTAGATATCAGTAGACTTTGTGCTCTTATAACTGTCATACACCCTGCGAACAGTTCAGTAACTTCATACTAAAATTTATCGTACGATTTTCTAGAACGAACCAAACAATATTGCTATTGGATTTGGTCATATATGCTCTTTAACATACGATTTTGAACAATTTCGGGGTTTTCTTTGAAAGGGAACTACATGTATCAAAAATACATGTACAAGATAAAAAATATTTTAATTACCAATCAATGATACATGTACAAGTTATTTTATTTACCAATCAATGATCCATGTACAAAATTCTTTATTTACCAATCAAGGTCACCGAAAGGCTTTTCAACAAACATAAATGTACAATTTAAACATATTTTTAATATAAATTGTTTTTTTAAAAGTAAAAGTAAGATTATTTCCAAAGACGGTGTTTTTTACCTGTTTTGTCAGCTGGGATCACCAAAACATGTGTATAACAATTGTGAACATGAACTTGTATCTTATTTCAACGATGGCGACAGGCAATGGACAAATTGATCAGAAAAAGCTCACTTGAGCTTATGGCTCAATGAGCTTAAAAGTAGGGGAGAACGGGGAAAAAAGGAACAGAACAGTAGATTACTGAGACAGAAAAGGAAATCTATAGGCGATTTCGGTTCTAATGAAAGTAAATACCATATAAAAGAACTCTGTATTGCAAGTATTAAAGATGTTTGTCCTGTTTAAATTAACAGTGTAAATCTTCAAGTTATTATCTTGAGATACCCTACCAACCAATGATAACTCGGATTATTGATGTTGACCAGATGACGAATGGTAAAGAACCCGAGGACAGGGTAGCTTTCAGTGATGACGATCTACCAGCTGGTGTGGAGGAGGACAGCGATAATGATCTAACAGCAGGTGTGAGGCAGGGCAGTGATGATGATCTGCCAGCTGGTGTGTGGGGGAAGACAGTGATGATGACCTACAAACTGGTCTGGAGGAGGACAGTGATGACGATCTATCAGTTGGTGTGGAGGAGGACAGTAATGACGATCTATCAGCTGATGTGTGATGGAGGACAGTGATGATGATCTACCAGCTGGTGTGTGGGGGAGGACAGTAATGACGATCTATCAGCTGATGTGTGATGGAGGACAGTGATGATGATCTACCAGCTGATGTGTGGGAGGACAGTGATGACGATCTAACAGCTGGTTTGGAGGAGGATGGAGGCTGGTTTGGAGTAATGATGATCTACCAGCTGGTGTGGAGGAGGACAGTGATAATGATCTTACAGCAGGTATGTGAAGAAGGACAGTGATGATGATCTACCAGCTGGTGTAGGGGAGGACAGTGATGATGATCTACCAGCTGATGTGGGAAGGACAGTGATGACAATCTACCAGCTGGTGTGAGGGAAGACAGTGATGATGATATACCAGCTGATGTGTGGAAAAGACAGTGATGATGATATACCAGCTGATGTGGGGGAGGACAGTGCTGACAATCTACCAGCTGATATGGGGAAGGACAGTGATGATGATCTACCAGCTGGTGTGATGGAAGACAGTGATGATGATCTACCAGCTGATGTGGGTGAGGACAGTGATGATGATCTACCAGCTGGTGTGGGGGAGGACAGTGATGACAATCTACCAGCTGGTGTGTTGGAGGACAGTGATGACAATCTACCAGCTTGTGTGGGGGAAGACAGTGATGATGATCTACCAGCTGGTGTGAGGGAGGACAGTGATGATGATCTACCAGCTGATGTGGGGGAGGACAGTGATGACGATCTACCAGCTGGTTTGGAGGAGGATGGAGGCTGGTTTGGAGTGATGATGATCTAGTAGATGGTGTGGGGGAGGACAGTGATGATGATCTACAAGCTGGTGTGTGTAAGGACAGTGAGTTTTTAAGGACTAGTTAACGGCGAGAAATATTCGCGATGACGAGGCTCTTGCAAACCTCGCGAAATATCTTTCGCACGCAAATAAAAGTTAGTTTACATTAAATGTTTTTTCAGGTTTTATATATTGTTGTAAAGAAGGAAGGGGTTAGTAACAGGAACAAAGTGTTATTTTGAATTTACAATGTGACAAAAAAAAAAGAATTAATTTTTAAACTGACTTGTCAAAACTTTTTTAAATGTTCGAAGACAATCAAAAACTAATGAGCAGATCAATACCGGCTAGCTTTGAACAATAACCAGCCTCAAATTTTCTGCAAAAGTTTACATTAAAAGTATACATAGGCTTAAATTTTTACCAGTGTACATGTGTAATGTAATTTTACCATAGGGTGATCCGGAACTTCTAATGATGGATGAAGAAACTGACAACAGAAAACATTTCAATCTGAAGTCAATCATGAAAGACTCCAACAAAAAGAAGAAATTATCTGGGAATCAAAAACCAGAGGGAAATTTTCAGGTATATCCATGTATATTACTATATATTTTTAATACCAGTATTTTTTCAGTTTTCTAAATATGTTTTGCGTAAAATCCTGCATGGATATTCTTTACTTCATACATTTTTTTTAAAGATAAAGTTAAGAATAATAAATATATTTGAGAGAAATATTTTGGGTAATTACAGTAAAATCACTTATTTTAGTTTCGTGGGGTCATTTTTTTATGGTTTAAGGAAAAGTGTAATTTTAAGTAGATTTGAATTTAATGTAAAAGAAGTGTTATGTTGTTTTGATTAAAAAATTAATCAAATATGGAGGCAATGGATTAATGGGTTTCCTCAAATCATGGAAACAATTAAAATAAAACCCGAACAGAAAAATGATTTGAAAGTTATTAATTTCAAATAATTTTTTATAAATCAATAATCAATTCTAAATAATTTTCAGAGGTAATTTATCAATTTCAGATAAATGTGAAGAACGATAGATTTACCGCCATTTTTGATTCCCACCTCTACAACATTGATCCATCGGCGCCAGAATTTAAAAAGACTAAATCAATGGATTCCATCACTGAAGAAACAAGAGGCCCAGGGGCCACAGCGCTCACCTGAGCACATCAGCTAAGAAAAAGCACATATCAGATCAGAACTGAAAGTTTAGTAGCATTGGGGGGGAGGGGGGCTTGAATTTTAACCCCAATGGTATCATGATTTGAACGAACTAGAATCTACACTACCTGAGGATGATTCCATATAAATATTACTAATCATGGCTTTGAAGTACTTGATAAGGAGATTTTAAAAGGTTTCCCTATATATTCCTATGTAAAACTTTTAACGGCCATTATGGCCCCACCCTAGCCCCGGGGTCATGATTTGAACAAACTTGAATCTACACTACCTGAGGATGATTCCACATGAGTTTCACCTTTCCTGGCCTAGGGGTTCTTGTGAAGAAGATTTTTAAAGATTTTTCCTATATATTCCTATATGAAACATTGATCGGCCATTATGGCCCCACCCTAGCCCCAGGGGTCATGATTTGAACAAACTTGAATGTACACAACCTGAGGATGATTCCACATGAGTTCCATCTTTCCTGTGCCTATGGATCGTGAGAAGAAGTTTTTTTCTATATATTCCTATGTAAAACTTTAATTTGATCGGCCATTTTGGCCTCACCCTACCCCCGGGGTCATCATTGCACAAATTTGAATCTACACTATCTGAGGATGATTCCAAATGAGTTTCATCTTTCCTGTTCCAGTGGTTCTTCAGAAGAAGATTTTTAAAGATTTTTCCTATATACTCCTATGTAAAACTTTGATCGGCCATTGTGGCCACACCCTACCCCCGGGGGTCATGATTTGAACAAATTTGAATTTACACTACCTGAGGATGCTTCCCTATAAGTTTCATCTTTCTTGGCACAGTGGTTCTTGAGAAGAAGATTTTTAAAGAATTTTCCTATTTATTTCTATGTAAAACTTTGATCGGCCGTTGTGGCCACACCCTACCCCCGGGGGTCATGATTTGAACAAACTTGAATTTACACTACCTGAGGATGCTTCCATATAAGTTTCATCTTTCCTGGCACAGTGGTTCTTGAGAAGAAGATTTTTAAAACATACCATCAAATTTTCACTATTTCTTAATTATCTCCCCTTGAAAAAGGGCATGGCCCTTCATTTGAACAGACTTGAATCTTAAGGATACTTTGTGCCAAGTTTGAATGAAATTGGCCAAGTGGTTCTTAAGAAAAAGTCGAAAATGTGAAAAGTTAACGACAACAACGACGACAACAACGACAACAACGACGACGACGACAGACAACGGACAAATTTTGATCAGAAAAGCTCACTTGAGCCTTCGGCTCAGGTGAGCTAAAAATGAAGAGAAGAACGTCAGGAAAAACCCAGAAAACTGTCAGCGTACAAAAACGGAAATCAGAGATCGAGTGACAATATTAACACTGGCCACTCGGGGAAATCTTGGAAGCCAGATTCAGACAGCATATCATCACTTATTCACTCTCTTAAATCTAAAACACAGACATTTCAGAACAAGAAGAGGAAAAAAAATAAGAGATATTATTAAAGAATTTGTATACAAGTATTTGACAGAAACTTAAGAGAAGGACGTCAGGAGAGACCCAGAAAATTGTCAGCGGACAAAAACGGAAATCAGAGAGTGACAATATTGGACACTCTGGGAAATCAGGGAAGCCAGATTCAGACAGCATTTCATCTCTTATTCACTCTGTTAAATCTAAAACACAGACATTGCAGAACAAGAAAAGGAAAAAAATAAGAAAAAAGAATTTAAAGTATAGAAACAATTGACAAGATGTAAAATCGTGTATGTTTAATAATCAAATTTGTGCAGAAAAAAAGATGCATGAATATTGGCATTACAGTGGAAACATTCCAGACTACAACAAATATTTACTTTTGTTATACCTTTGAATATTTGTTCCTATACAAATCTATACGAAAAAAGTATAACATTTCTAATGTTTTGTTGGACCGCTGAGTGAGATGTTGGACCGCTTACGTCACAGTATGGGCGGGGTTAACTGTATCTTAACTTGCATTCGTTTTAATCCGTAGTTTCGGAGAATTTGTACGACAGTACTCGGTTAGCATTCGACAGAAACGAAATTGACCGAGTTAAATCCGCATTGCGACAAATTGAAATTAACATTCAAATATTGTCACCTGCATCGCAAATCTGCATTGCGGGAAATTGAAATTAACATTCAAGTGTTATCATCTGCCATCTGCATCGCAATCATGGAAGGAAGTGCTAGGTTTGCTTCATACAATGACGAAGAAATTGAAAACATAATGGAGAATCGGGACAGCAGCAATACGAAAAATATGGTGAAAGTTGCTGAAAGAATATTGTCGGAATTCCTAGTCCACAAGTTCGAATCCAACTTTGATAACTTTTTAATGGAAACAGCAAGAATGAAGCTGCCGAATTTCTGAAAAAGTTTTATTGTGAAGTTCGAAAAAAGGCGGCACAAATTATGTGAGATCTACTATGAGATTTGGATTGCAGAGAGTGTTTCTTAAATTGTACAAGTGGGACATTATAAATATAATTATAAATGACAATGATTTTAAAAGCGCTAAAGACATGTTCAGGTGTTTGTTTGGTGAAAATAAAAAAGGAAGGTATGCAAACAGAACAAAAAACTCCCATTTCTGACGATGATATTAAAAAACTGTACGAATCAAATGTATTTGATACGTCTACACCAAGAACATTACAACAAAAAGTTTCTTTTGAAATAATGATGTTTTTCTGTAACCGAGGAAGGGAAAATCTACGAAACATGAAACCCACGGATTACCAAATTCGTATGGACACAGAGGGGAGACGATATGTCGGAACCAATGTCTCAAGGCTTACTAAAAATCATCGTGAAGCTGTAGGAGACCAGGATAAGAGGGCCGCTAGAATGTAGAATGTACGAAAACCCCGATAAGTTTATTTCTACTTGGGCTAGAATTTCATGCATGTTAATTAGAGACGGTTTTACTAATATAAAAAACAGGTGTCTGCGACTTTATATACTCATACAGTATGGTTATTTTGAATAGAAAATAAGTTTATTGGTACTCCTTTAATTATATAGGTAATCCAGCACGCCCCGTCAAGAGTTTGAGAAATACATACTTGTATCAAAGCTGTATCGAGCGTTCGAGTTTCTCTGGCAGAGACCTAAAATAGATGTGGCGGATCAAGCAGGAGTTTGGTATGATGGCTACAATAAGTATAGATGCAAACGTATCGTTTGTTTATGCTAATCACTGCATCAGGGCCACATGTATTACCTTACTTGACGAGGGCGGCTATGAGGGTAGACATATCATCGGAATATCAAAACATAAATCAGAGACGAGTCTAAAGCATTATTCTTCGCATCTCTGTGAAAATAAGAACCACCGAGCAGGCAACTTCGTCCGAATCTGTATTGAATTTGACTGACCTAGATTTATTACAAATACCAATGCTGCCAACAAACCTCGATATTCTCCAAAAGAAAAAAAATGCTCAAAATCAAGACTTTAATTCGTGCAGCTTCAACCAGTGCACCATTGTCTTTAACAAACATACAAACTGACTTAGTTTTATAGTATATCCATAATTCTTTTTTCTCATGCACCTGTTTCAAATAAAGTTTTGTCGCAAATAAATTGTTTTCATTTATAAAATGTTATAATAAAAAGTGAAAGGTATTAAAAAAACATTTATTGTCTGGTTTCTCCTGCAAAATGCGTTTTGTTGGACCCTCGAACAAAACTGTTGCCTTCGGCCTAACTACCTCAGGCAACAGTTTGGTTCTTGGGTCCAACAAAACGCATGTTCCTCTCGAACCAAATCAATAAATGTATAAAAATTAATCAGTAAACAAAAAATATCGCACGGCAAACATTTGGTCAGTATCTTTGTAATATTTCTAAATTCATTATTTGTTTACTCAAATGCTTCACTAATATTAGTAGTCTGTTTCAAATGACATCAGCGTCACAGTTCTTTCGTCTAGAATCAGTGATCAACTTCCAGTCCTTTTCTACATATTTAGTGTCACACTCCTTCTTTTCATAATCAGTGTCACACACCTTCTTTTCATAATCAGTGTCGCACTCCTTTTTTCAATAATCAGTGTCACACTCCTTTCTTCCATAATCAGTGTCACATTCCTTTCTTTCGTAATCAGTGTCATGCTCCTTCTTTTCATAATCAGTGTCACATTCCTTCTTTTCATAATCGGTGTCATACTACTTTCTTTCATAATCAGTGTTAAACTCCTTTCTTCCATAATCAGTGCAACACTGCCAGTCCTTTTCTATATACTTAGTGTCACACTCCTTCTTTTCATAATCAGTGTCACACTCCTTCTTTTCATAATCAGTGTCACACTCCTTTCTTCCATAATTAGTGCCCCACTGCCAGTCCTTTTCTATATACTTAGTGTCACACTCCTTTCTTCCATAATCAGTGCCACACTCCTTTCTTCCATAATCATTGTCACACTCCTTCTTTTCGTAATCAGTGTCACAGTCCTTCTTTTCGTAATCGGTGTCACAGTCCTTCCTTTTATAATCAGTGTCACACTCCTTTCTTTCATAATCAGTGTTAAACTCCTTTCTTCCATAATCAGTGCAACACTGCCAGTCCTTTTCTATATACTTAGTGCCACACTCCTTCTTTTCATAATCAGTGTCACACTCCTTTCTTCCATAATCAGTGTCACACTCCTTTTCATAATCAGTGTCACACTCCTTTCTTCCATAATTAGTGCCCCACTGCCAGTCCTTTTCTATATACTTAGTGTCACACTCCTTTCTTCCATAATCAGTGTCACACTCCTTTCTTCCATAATCATTGTCACACTCCTTCTTTTCGTAATCAGTGTCACACTCCTTTCTTCCATAATCAGTGTCACACTCCTTTCTTCCATAATCAGTGTCACAGTCCTTCTTTTCGTAATCGGGGTCACAGTCCTTCCTTTTATAATCAGTGTCACACTCCTTTCTTTCATAATCAGTGTCACTCTCCTTTCTTCCATAATCAGTGTTAAACTCCTTCTTTTCGTAATCAGTGTCACGCTCCTTTCTTAAATAATCACTGCCCCACTGCCAGTCCTTTTCTACATACTTAGTGTCACACTCCTTTCTTCCATAATCATTGTCACACTCCTTCTTTTCGTAATTAGTGCAACACTCCTTTCTTCCATAATCAGTGCCCCAATTCCAGTCCTTTTCTATATACTTAGTGTCACACTCCTTTCTTCCATAATCACTACCCCACTTCCAGTCCTTTTCTATATACTTAGTGTCACACTCCTTTCTTCCATAATCAGTGTCACACTCCTTTCTTCCATTATCACTGCCCCACTGCCAGTCCTTTTCTACATACTTAGTGTCACACTCCTTTCTTCCATAATCATTGTCACACTCCTTTCTTCTATAATCACTGCCCCACTGCCAGTCCTTTTCTATATACTTAGTGTCACACTCCTTTCTTCCAAAATCAGTGTCACACTCCTTTCTTCCATAATCACTGCCCCACTGCCAGTCCTTTTCTACATACTTAGTGTCACACTCCTTTCTTCCATAATCACTGCCCCACTGCCAGTCCTTTTCTACATACTTAGTGTCACACTCTTTTCTTCCATAATCAGTGTCACACTCCTTTCTTCCATAACCCGTGTCACTCTCCTTTCTTCTATAATCAGTGCCCCACTTCCAGTCCTTTTCTATATACTTAGTGTCACACTCCTTCTTTTCATAATCAGTATCACACTCCTTCTTTTCATAATCAGTGTCACACTCCTTTCTTCCATAATCAGTGTCACACTCCTTCTTTTCATAATCAGTGTCACATTCTTTTCTTCCATAATCAGTGCCCCACTTCCAGTCCTTTTCTATATACTCAGTGTCACACTCCTTTCTTCCATAATCATTGTCACACTCCTTCTTTTCGTAATCAGTGTTACACTCCTTCTTTTCATAATCCGTATCACACTCCTTTTCATAATCAGTGTAACATTCCTTTCTTCCATAATCAGTGCCCCAATGCCAGTCCTTTTCTATATACTTAGTGTCACACTCCTTCTTTTCATAATCAGTGTTACACTCCTTCTTTTCATAATCCGTTTGACACTCCTTTTCATAATCAGTGTCACACTCCTTTCCTCCATAATCAGTGCCCCACTGCCAGTCCTTTTCTATATACTTAGTGTCACACTCCTTTCTTCCATTTTCATTGTCACACTCCTTTCTTCCATAATCATTGTCACACTCCTTCTTTTCGTAATCAGTGTCACACTCCTTTCTTCCATAATTAGTGTCACACTCCTTTCTTCCATAATCAGTGCCCCACTGCCAGTCCTTTTCTATATACTTAGTGTAACACTCCTTTCTTCCATAATCAGTGTCACACTCCTTCTTTTCGTAATCAGTGTAACATTCCTTTCTTCCATAATCAGTGTCACACTCTTTTCTTCCATAACCCGTGTCACTCTCCTTTCTTCCATAATCAGTGCCCCACTTCCAGTCCTTTTCTACATACTTAGTGTCACACTCCTTTCTTCCATAATCACTGCCCCACTGCCAGTCCTTTTCTACATACTTAGTGTCACACTCCTTTCTTCCATAATCAGTGTCACACTCCTTTCTTCCATAACCCGTGTCACTCTCCTTTCTTCCATAATCAGTGCCCCACTTCCAGTCCTTTTCTATAAACTTAGTGTCACACTCCTTCTTTTCATAATCATTGTCACACTCTTTCTTTTCATAATCAGTGTCACACTCCTTTCTTCCATAATCAGTGTCACACTCCTTTCTTCCATAATCAGTGTCACAGTCCCTCTTTTCATAATCAGTGTTACACTCCTTCTTTCCATAATCATTGTCACACTCCTTCTTTTCGTAATCAGTGTCACACTCCTTTCTTCCATAATCACTGCCCCATTGCCAGTCCTTTTTCATATGCTTAGTGTCACACTCCTTTCTTCCATAATCATTGTCACACTCCTTCTTTTCGTAATCAGTGTCACACTCCTTTCTTCCATAATCAGTGTCACACTTTTTTCTTCCATAATCCGTGCCCCACTGCCAGTCCTTTTCTTCATACTTAGTGTCACACTCCTTTCTTCCATAATCAGTGTCACACTCCTTTCTTCCATAATCATTGTCACACTCCTTCTTTTCATAATCAGTGTCACACTCCTTTCTTCCATAATACGTGCCCCACTTCCAGTCCTTTTCTATATACTTAGTGTCACACTTCTTTCTTCCATTATCAGTGTCACACTCCTTTCTTTTATAATCAGTGTCACATTCCTTTTGTTTATAATCAGTGCCGGTTTGTTCTTTTTACTTCGTGCCCATTTGCTCTCTTGTGTACCCTGTTCCAAAGTTTTTGAGAATTTTTGGATCATCAAGCACTCGTCTGACTGGGGTAGAAGATCCATTTTCTGGTAAGTTCTCTTTTATGGGGGAGGATACAGCTTCTAATGATTCCTGGCCATTTTCCAAACTATAACCATGTTCTTCACCTGTTATTGATGTTGGTTTCATTTTTCCAAACATCTTAGAGATCTGTCCTTGTAAAACATGTGGTGAGAATTGTGCTGTGCTTAGATTAGGATTAGATGGTAATATTCTATATTTCGCAGAGCCTATTTGGAAGTTTAATACTTTGAATACATCATTAGAATCCAGTAAATTGTGCAAATATTCAACATAATGATTTATGTTAGAGATGCAAATACTCATATCTAATAAATGTTTTTTCAGAGTTTCCTTATGTTTGTTTTTCATTTCATCATCTTCAGTTTTAAGTTTCTGGACAGGTTTTTCAATTTCTGTGCATGTTTTTCCTCCATGCATCGTTATGGTTATTGGAGGTTCTTCATACATGTATTCCATATCAAAATGACTCAATGTGTTTTGTAAATCTGCAGCTATGTTCAAGTAAGTTGGATAGATGGATCCCACTAGTTCATTAATTTCTGTCTGGATCGCTGCCTTCTTTTTGTCAATAATGTCTTTTAGCAAGTAGACCTTATGTTCTTTGTGTTTTCTGGAGGCAATACAAGCGGAACAAACTGGAATATTGCATTCCTTACATTGCAACTCACAACTGTTATCCTCGTGAATTTTACATCTAGGATAGAGGAGAGTAGATTTCCTGTCCTGAAATTCGACGACTTTGTGATCCTTGAATTTATCAGAAATCATATGTTTCCCTACGCAAGCTGTGCAAAGGTTGACAAGACATGTATCACAGTGCATCTGTACCATAGCGGTCTCACACAGGTCACATCGCATAACGTCCTGGGCACTGGTACGGGGGTCCATCGCTTGTAAATGTTACCCTGAAGTAAAGTTAATACACCAGTTTACAGTGAATTAAAATTTGTATTTTTTAGAACAAAAAAAAACGTGTTCTTTTAAATACAACTTCTATGTTGCATTCCAGATAAGTCTACTCAGAGACACTACTATCAATGAGTGCGATTTTTTTTTAATAAAATGTTTGATTTAAGTTATATTTTAGATATTTAATTACTGTGGATTACGGAATTTTAGCGACATCTTCTTTTCGCGAGATAATCATAAACTCTGTTGTAGAGATAGATTTTCTCGAATTGAGGGTATTGCTCGACGGAATACTAAATAGGAGAATGAAATCTTCGTGCGCACATTGCCTCGCATAATTAGGCAAAAATGAAGTTCTCACAAATAAAACGTTATTTACTATATATTTTGTTTAAAATGTGTCAATGAAAATATCTAAGATATTTCATTTAAAAAGTTAAAGAACTCAAAGGGTACGAGAGAGAGAGAGAGAGAGAGAGAGAGAGAGATTTTTAAAAACTTGAACATTGTAAATTTGCATGTCGATGCAGCTTGTGTCCTTCTAGTTGTTGCTAGCTATGGCAATATAAGTTCCATTGCTTATTTAAAGATTATCAAAAGTAGGGTCATATTAATTCCCCCTTAGCTGCTGAACTGTAGCTCTCCGAAAAAAATATATTTGTCAAGATTTTTTATTTCGGGGAGCTACAGTACTGCACCTAATACCCCCTACACGCCCCCAAGAATTAAGGAATTTAATTTTGTAGACTCTTTATATTTTTCCTTGTTAGAGTTTTTCAGGAGATTGTCCCTTCCCTCTCAAACTGTCGCCGACAGTCAGATCGACGATATGAAACGTCACAGGAGCCTCAAATGACCCTGTTGGACTTTACAAAGCGACAGATGAAAAATACAGATACAGCTGTGCAAAAATATGGAGCATTCCGACTATTGATATATAACAATGATAATAGCAGTTTAAATTGTGAATACGTTTAAAAAAAATGAAAAAATCTACTTTATATCAGATTTCTTTAAAAATCAAACCATTTACCTTGTTTTCAGTAATGGCAGCCGAATGTATACTGTGATCTGGTGATTTACAGGTATATCTTTGTTAGCTATATATGAAGTTATGATTATTTATCCTCATCTGGAAGCCAAGTACATATAGATACAGATAAGTACATATAGATATCTGTAGACTTTGTGCTGTACTGTTAGAAAATTTGTCTACCGCTGCCCGGCAAGAATGTTGCCGATGTCGTAATGACGTTAATTTTTAGGTTCAACCACAATCATATCGTTAAAAATGTGCTCTTTTGTGTTTTTTATTCAAATCTTTAATATTATTTGCCATTAACCGTCTTGTTTTTAGTTGTAGTATGAAAATTATATGAATTTTGTCTTGCTTTTGCGTATCGAATCAACTGATATGCAATTATATTAACTCCGTATGCAGGCGATGAAGATATATTGCTGCATAAGTAAGGGAAGTTGACGATAGAAAAGTCATCACGTTAATCATAGAGCTTGGTTGTTAGATTAATATTTACGTATTATTCAAGTGAAATATTTAAAAATGAAACAGCTGTGTCAGACTCTATGGTATCTTTTTATCTCAAGCTCACCAGGATATATTGTATCGACATAAGAATTGAAATTAACATTGTTAATTGACATACGTCGCCGATATATCTAAATGTCGCGTGGAAGACCACAGCAAGTGTTTTCTTCTTTTCATGTATACAATTTTGCACAAACTCTGCTTCATATAAACACAAAATAGGTCTGCTAATAACGGAGCGCAATTGGTAACCAAGGGATTTCCAAGAGTGTATATATCTAAGTTGATTCAAAACACAAAAACATGCTCTACGTATGAACAATTTCTAAAACGAGGTAAATTATTGACAAAGAAGCTGATGAAACAAGAATACCAGCAGTCTCGTTTAAAGTCATCATTTCGTAAGTTCTATGGTCGAAACAATGACTTCAGCAATTACGATTTATCATGGAGTCACATGCTGACTGACGTTTTTCATACTATTTGTTTGTGCATTATTTATACACTGAATTGACGACGGATTTTCCCTTTATTTCCCGATCATGACAAGGAGCACACAACGGGTGTAACCGGTCAGCAGGGGATGCTCACTCCTCCATGGCACCTGACCCCACTTATGATGTTTAGAAGGTCAGTGTTTGATCTGCTTCTATTTTTTATTAATGTTTAATAGAGTTCTGAGCTTGAACACCATTCGTTATCTCCATATATTTAATACAATTTTATTTACCAATCAAAAATGCATATACAAATTGCATGATATTTTTGCCAATCAAAAATACGTGTACAAAATCTGAGGATATTTTATTTACCATTGAATCAAAAGTACGTGCACAAGATAACAGATATTTTATTACCAATCAAGGGTCCCGAAAGGCATTTCAACTTACATAAATACACAGTTTAAACAAATTTTACAATATAAATTGATTTTTTAGATAGTTAAAAAAGTAAAATGATTCGCAAAGACTGGGATCAGCATACATTATACTGAGAACATAAACTCGTATCTTATCAGATGAATCCAAGGATTTATACAGGGATTACAAAAATAAGCCAAGGAACTCGAGATCTGTCCTATATGCGTATATAATATTGTTTATTCATCAATCAAGGACTCTCATTGGGCATATACATATGGTACAATTGTTACAATATTACAATTAGATAGTATTGAAGTATAATATAATTTAATATGACATAATAATTAAGTCTTTCATGGACGTACAAATGCACAAACCACAGGTACTTGTGGACAGGACCCCCCTCGATATTCAACCCCGGGGCTTATTGGACATTTCTTTAAGAAACTATATTTTGTTTTGGAGTTTTGACGATTTGTTCATATTGTACATATGGTGAATAAGAGTAATAAATATAATTTGTGAAAAAAAAAGTCCAACAAGCCCCAGAGTTAAATAAAGTGGGGAAGGTCCTGTCCACAAGTACCTGTGGAACAAACTAGTTTAAAATAAAAAAAAAGAGATATGAAATCCCCACAGTCAGTCTTCAAGTTGCCTCCTTTACAGCAAAAGCGAGACCAACCTCGGATTTAGGACGATGATGTGAAATATGCTGTAATTAAGAAACGAGGTGGGGGAATAATTTTGCAGATACAATAACAAACAAGAGCAGAGCAAACACGGACCTTCAAATCATCAGAGTTGGGATCAGGAGCCATGGAGGAGTGAGCATCCACTGCCGACCGGTCACACTCGCCGTGTGCTCCTTTTCATGACCGGTATATAACTAGAAAATCCGTGGACAATTCAGTGTATAAATAATGGACTTACAATATATTCATTAAGTATGAAAAACCGTCAGTCAGCATTTGACTAAATGATAAATTGTATTTGCTGACAAAGTCATTGTATCGACCATAGAACTTACGAAATTTTGAGTTCAAACGAGACTGCTGATATTCTTGTTTCATAAACTTCAATAAAGAAAATTCAAGACACTCGACGCTGAAGATATTATTGCCTGACGTCAAGGCTCCGGCAGTACTAAGGATCAATATTTCCTAGGTGCGAAGCTAATTTAAGAGGTCACAGTTAGCCAGCAAAATTTTGTGCATGCTGAATATCATCGGATTTTGTTTCCTGCATTTCAACTACAACAGTTTGAAGGAAAAAAAACATATTACTGATACAATATATTGATGCTTTTATTTCCGTTAGTTTTTTGCATGCAGCTATTTATTTCATGCGAGTTGTCCGTTTGACCTTTTTTCTGCGTTTCTATACTTCTGGATTAGTCCATTTGTCTTCGAGGTAAGGGATGACACAGTCATTTTGCGCCAAAAGGTCACGTGTAAGTCCTTTTGGCGCCTTTTTCCAGCTGGACTGTTCTGTTGAATGCAAATGAAAACGCATGAATTATATGAAGTTTGTTTTTTTTTTGTCGGATTAATCGAGCTTTGGAAAAAAAAACATTTCGGTGATATTGTGAAGTGAGTTAGAAGTTACATCATTAAAAGTAATAAAAACGAAACGAACAAAAACTTCTTAAGAGGATGAACTGGCCAAATATAGATCTGATCATACCCCTCCCCCTCCTACAGGGGTTCCTTCTACAAAAACAGAATATAGATTTAAGAAAGTGCCCTCTCACATTTTAGGATTGAGGGAGTTTATTAATTTTTTGCCCTTACAATTATTTCTTATGTGGACCTGGACCCACCCCACCCCCCCACCCCCATCTCTGGGAAAAACTTCCTGAATCCACGCCTTTCGCCATTCATATATTACCGTTAAGTTTATTTAGTCATTATGCATAACGGGCTTTATTTATCGTACAGTTCCAACAATCGTTGATACCCTGCCTACCCAAGAAACTAGTAAAGATATTCTGCCTGTCAGTCATAACCGTTACGATTCCCAGTTTCTTATAGTTAACACAATTACTTTATTTCCCTTATTGACTTCATCCTCTTCAACCATTTTTAGACTCGCGTAGTCTC